GGAAAGGTGAGTCGGCGATGACCCGTTTGTTGCGGGTCCTGTGCGAGGGTTTCGACAGGCCTGGCGATTGGGAGCTCCGCTGGTTCAAAATGAATACCAGCAACTACTTGCTTCCCCAGAACCGCCCTCGCGTGTACATCGGTGGTCGCCTGGTGAGTCGGTCACTCGGTGTTCGAACATCGAGCGAGCCGAAATGCAACTCGAGCCAATCACACCATGCCGCCTGCTCTCTCCTACGCCGTTTAGCGTGTGAGTTGTGGGTTGCCAACCTCCCTTTGCCCAGGTGTTTGGGAGATGGCCACATGATGAAGCGGAACATCGTTGACTTTCGCCCCAAAGACGTGCTGCCCCCGCTTATCGTGGCGCAGTCCTCTTCGGTGGTGCACTTTCTGGACAAGACGCTGCCCACGGACAGCTGGTTTGGTGAAACACGCCACTACTACTCACACAGTGTGCCTTGAGCGGATGAGGGTGAGGAGGAGAAGGTGAGGCAAGGAAGGAAGGTGAGGAGGTCAAGGAGGAGGGTGAGGATGAGAAGGACGGACCCCTGCCCCAGCCCGCCGCAGGCGATGCCCCCCACGCTCGAGATGGCCTTGAACCTCAACGCTGTGAAGCGCGAGGTGGTCAACATGATGAACAATCCCGAGTACGCAGACAAGGTGTGCATCTGCGACGTCACTCGCAGCGAGGACCACGTTTGCCCACGGAGGGAAATGAGGCAGTGGAGGGAGGAGGAGGAGGAGGAGGAAGAAGAAGAGGACGGGCAGGAGGAGCAGGTCAAGGAGGAGGAGGAGGACAAGGAGAAAGGAGAAAGGAGGAGGAGGAGGAGGAGGAGAAACGAGAAGGATAAGGAAGGGGCAAAGGAGTGAGGGAGGAGGAAGACGAGGAGAAGGATGAGGGAGGGTGAGAGCTAGTTTTCAGATGAGACGTGGCGCCGCCAGTGACGGTGTCTGTAACACGACGGTCGTAGTCATATCATCGAATCAAGCCCTCATCGGCCCTCCCTCGTCCTCCGTCAACTCCAGGCGTAGTTATGGGCCTGTCGATTCCCCCTGAGGACTCGTTTGGGGCTCGTTTGGTTCGTCCCTGGTTCCATCTTGGGGCTATCTGGGTGAGTCTGGAAGGCCCTTGGGGCCATGTTGGATACCATCGGTCAGATCAGGCGCAAGCAATAGTGCGTTTATCCAACACTCCTCGTCGGGGTTACGATCCTTGTGAGGGGTGTCAAGCTTTGACGCTCAACAAACACAGGAGGAAGGGGGTGAGGGAGCAGTTATCCGCGGTAATCCCCTCCCCGAATGGGTAGAAGGTGGGTGATTAGACCAGGCGACCTAAACCAACCGCACCAAGAATGGGGGTTAACTGAGCATGCTACTTCATCTTCCCCCCCCTACGCTGACGCCGCCACTGAGCCACGCACCATTACAAACACATCTGAGCATACAATCACGTGTAGTAACGCTCGCAAGGCTCTCCACCACGCACCGCACACCCTGCTCCAATCACCACTACATCCATATCACCTCTCCCACCCTCCTGCCAGCCATTACACAACCACCACCTCATTCTCATCCCACCACATCCACCAGGCCAACAACCCGCCTTCTCCAGACCCCATCCGCCGTAGTAGCATTTTGGCTTCGAGGTTCGTGCATTCGCAACCCTTGCCTGTTTTGGCATCGATTCGGTCCGACCTCCGCTGAGGACTGGGCCAAGTTTCTTTACGCAAGATGGCAGTGCCTCCGCCAGAGACTGGGGGAGCCACCGGCGCGGCGCCCTCCGCGCCGCCTGCTGGCCATGGCACGGCCACCCCCGACTCGCGGACGGGGAGTGACACGCCAGGTGTGGAGGCTGCGCCGCCATCCCGCTCGAGTGCCTCCGCTTTTGGCGCGCTAGCAGTTGTGCCCGAAGAGTTCGAGGATGCCGAGGACACGTTCCTCTGCAAGAAGGAAAACAGAATGGTTCCAGTATCGGAGAAGTTCGCTGGCAAAGGAGTTAATAATGTGTGCTGCGACTGCCAGGGCAACTACAAAGCCTTGACGCGCAGGTGGAAAGGCAACAAAGGCTTGAAGGACTGGTGGAACGCAAAAAACGAGGACGATCAGATCGAGTGGTACCGCGAGCACAAGGCGGTCAACAGGGACAAGAAGAGGCACGCTGGCACCCGCCTGGACATCACAGTTGGCTGCACCAGGGAGAAGGGCACGGAGGGCAGGAGGCGCTACCACTATCGGCCGTACAGCATCGTGAGGGCTGAGCTCAAGCAGGAGAATCCGACCTGGACTGAGTCGCAGTGCGAGACCGAGTGGCAGAAGCTGCTCCTCGACCCCACCCAAGCCACCAAGCAAGATATCGACGGCCAATGGCTCCTCGGTAAATACCTCGGCGTCTTTGACGACGACGTCGACAGGTCCGTGGTCGCGACATCGCTGCTGAACCACAGGCAAGCTTCCACCGCAGAAGAAGCCCAGGGCATGTTGGATGAGGCGATGCAGCACATGAGCCAGGATGCAGGCAAGGCCAGCTCGACGGCCAGGAAGCTGATGCAATCGGTATCTGCGGGGACTGCGTCGGCATCTTTTCCTCCCAATCTCGTGGGAGGGGTGGTGTCGGCCGAAGGTGACGGTGACTCGGCGGCCTCAGCACTAACCAGCCAGCTTGTGGGCGCCTTGAGCCTGGCGGCGACTGCAGATCGTGCTGAGCAGGAGATGGAGCTGAGGGAGGAGGCTGAGGCTGCGGAGAGAGCTGCTGGGGTGAAGGCGGCGGCGGCCACGGCCCCAGATACGGTGAAAGGTGGGGCTGACGATGCTCAGGTCAAGCTCAAGGTGTCCCAGGTTGTTGACTCTGCAATACTCAGGTTCGAGAACTCCGTGGCCTCGACGCAGCTGGAGCTGACCCATGTCATCACTGAGATGAAAGGCATCGTGGAGGACCTGGACGCCAATGGCAAGGACGCCCTCAAGCAGGCAGAGGAGAAGATGGCCGAGCTCCCTGCCACAGCCGAGCTCGCCGTGAAGAACTTTCAGGACGCCAAGACGTGCTCGGACATGAACTCGGCCAAGATTGATTGCAAAACCGTCCAGGCGTCCGCGAACGCGCTGATCAAACCTGCCAAGGACGCGCTGCAGAAGGCAAAGGCTGAGTTCATGAAAGTGACCCGTGCGAAGCGCCCTAAGCTTGCTCGGTCCAACGCCTCAGACGACCTTGGACAAGCTACACGAGCACGGTTCGACTTCGCATTAGCACAGGTGGGAGCTACCTCCGATCACGTCGGCACCACCTTTGAGAATGCGTCCGCCGACATGCCATTTGTCCTGGACGCTGATGAGGTCGTGCAGCAGCTTCAGAAGGGCCTGCCCTGGAGGGAGTTCGACAAGTGGGTGACGAACCAGCTGGAGAAGGCGAGCTACCCTGAGGAGCAGCAGTTCGTCCAGATGTATATTCCACAGGCGTATGTCAGACGAAGATGAAGAGGGGGCTGCAGTTAAAGCACTCGACGCGTGATTTGAGGAGTTACAGTCCCAAGAGACCTCCTGGCCCCACGCCCCCCGCCCCCCTCACCCCCCCTCCCCAAAAAGAAGCCCCCAGAGGGCGGCGAAAGCGCCCCAAGCGGGCCCCAAGAGGACCCCAAGAGGACCCCAAGATGGCTCAAAGAGGGGGGTCGGAGGAGTAGGAGTATGAGTAGGAGTAGGAGTAGGAGTAGGAGGAGGAGGAGGAGGAGGAGGAGGAGGAGGAAGAACATGGGGAGGAGGAGGAGGAGGAGGATGCACCGTTGAGCGCAGTGTCTGCAGGAGCCCCTCCTCCTTTTCGTCTGGGCAGGCTGCGCTTATCGCACTGCTGCACAAGCTGCTGAAAGACAAGTTGTCTATGCCCATGGATTTTTTCAGGCGCCTGGGGTCATCGCTTCCACTTACGCCTGCCGCGGATAAGGACATCTCAAAGATAACCATCGTGCAAGCAGTCAAAGGTCACCATGCCTTTCTCCCGCCGATGTATGGCCTCAGCGAGTTTCGGTTCCTGTTGTCGGGCAAAGAGTTGATCATTGGCATTGCGCTGGATATCAACACGACTAGCCTCAAGGGCGCGTTGGATGAGTGCGAGAAGATGGATGGCTACAATCTGGCCAAGGCTGCGAAGGAGGCGGGTAATTTCGCTGTCGTGCTGACTCCTGGCAAGCTCGTGTGCCTCCCTGTGGGCTTCATCTACTTGACCTACCGCGTCGAGAACAGCCAGTCGATGAGGTGGTGCTATTTCAACAGGGGTGGCAGTTCCAGCAGCGTCGAGCTGGCGGTCACCAGGCTGAACCTCTGGGCCACTGCCATCATGGAGGCGTTCCCGAGCCTCACGGCTTCCGCCCCGCTTTACAAAGATATTTCCGAGGCGTGCAGACGTTGCGCCGATGCGAAGCACGTGACCGCCCCAGCGTGAGTCCCCACCAGCGGGTTCTCGCGCTGGTTCTCGCGAGCTCCAGCCTCCTGCCAGGCCTTTGAAGTAGCACGTGCTGCTCAGCGGATGTGGGTTTGCCGTTTAGGCCATAGCATGTGGGAGGGTCGAGGGGCCTAGCAGGGAGTAAGGACGCAGGCAAACAGTGAGATGGGTGAGAGCAGGGGTAAGTGGAGGGGTGCCGTGCGGTCGGGTGCACAGCTGGCCACACAGACACAGAGGTGGTGTGTGCGCGAAGCACTAGACCTCGCCCTCCTCCTCCTCCTCATCTTCCTGGTGCTAGTGTGCTGCTACCCCTCCTCCTCCTCCTCCTCCTGGCTCCTCCTCCTCCGCCTGGCTCCTCCTCCTCCTCGTCATCCTGGCTCCTACTCTTCCTGGCTCATCCTCCTCCTCCTGGTCCCTCCTCCTCATCATCATCCACGCCCCTCTGGTTGCTACTGGCCTTGCTGCTGATGTGCTTGCCTGTGCTGCCGCTGATGCTACTGAAAGTGCTGCTGCTGCTACTGATGCTGCCTCCACCTTCCCCCTCGCTCGACTGGCTTGTCTTCCCTTGCTGCCTGCGTCGGCCCCTCGCCGCGCTCAGGAGTCGGCCAGGGGCCTCTCATATCGCACCGACGGTTTGGCGCCGTGCCTCCTGCGGGGCTTGACCTACCTGTGGGTCTTCAGTCTCGGGGGGGGCAGCGGGGACACTGTGGACCTCTCCGTGGACAGGCTCAGGAGGCGGAGGTGGAGGAGATGGAGGAGGAGGAGGAGGAGGAGGAGGAGGAGGAGGAGGAGGGGGAGGAGAAGGAGAGGAGAAGGAGGAGGAGGGACGAGGAAGAGGGAGGTCGACGGAGGGAGATGGAGGTGGAGGGCTGAATGCCGAAGGAAGGTGGATGAGGAACATGGTCAAGGGGTGGTGGTGAACGTGGCGAGGAAGAACAGAAAGAGGAGGAAGAGGAGGGAGGCGGGAGGATGAGGACGGCCATCCAAGGTTCGTCACGCCTCGTGAACGCTTCCTGCTGCAGGGGTTTCTAGACACGCCTCCGCTCCTTCCGAAATGTGTGCAGGTACAAGCGAGCGGCAACTGCATGTCGCTCCCGTGCGTAGCCGCTGCGATTTTCACGGTGCTCCAGGATTCCCCGCATTTTTTCTCGGGTGGTTCGGAATAAAGGGCGATTGCCCCACAGTAGGTAACTAGGAATCAGGGTCGACGACCCTAGTACACAGATGGCAGCGATCGCGGGCAGTAGGTCTATGCCATCGGCAATGCCTCTCATACTACGCATTGCCCGCTAGGACAGAACGATCGAGCGCCCGAGCTCGGCAGTGAAAACATTCTCCTGTGAGGTGCTCTGCCCTTCGATGTCATCGGTGACAGTTGTTGAGTGGACCCCCCCCCATTCACCCTGAACACGCATGCAACCACGCACGCCATGACTTTAAGCCATCAGTTAGACCACAACTGGTCATCACAATCAATATGATGATCAATCTTACGACACACACGCACACACGCACACACGAAATCGCACACACACACAGACACACACACACACACACACACACGCTACCACGCACCCGCGCACACACATTAGCGATACCACCCCTCGTCGTTCGCACATCCCGTTTGTATTCGTGGTCCATGTCCGCAGCCACTCTGGCCGCCTCTCGCGTGAAGAGCATCGTTCAGTGACGCCCGCCGCTCAGAAATACATCCATGGCTGATGGCGATCGGCTTCGTTCCCGCTCTCCCCAGGCGTATCGGCAGTGCAGGTTGTTTCCTGGCCCTCACTTGGAGCTCCTGCACGGGTTCATGGCCAATTTTGATGAGCCCGTTAGGGCGCGCAGCGGGTTGTGGAGCCCACGGCTTGATGAGTTTCCGACTGTTCGCGTGATGCACCTCAGCCACCATCTGATGTCGTACCGGAGTGTAGTTTTTTGTACGAAATGTGGCGGCTGGTCACGCCACCAGGTTAATAGGATCCTTGTTAGCGAATGTAACGGTCAACCTGCGAATGATTATAGGAGCAGGTGCCTGAACCGTCTCGGCAGAAAGGGCGGACCAACTTGACTCCAGAACTCTCCCCCCCCTCCCTTCCTCCTGCTGCTCCTTTTCCTCCTTCTCCTCCTCCCCCTCCTCCTCGGGCCCCGTGTTCCTCCCTTCCTCTTTCTTTCCTTCATCTCGTGTGCGGAGCTGGTTGTTCTATGTCCTTTTTCGATCAGAGGGGATTACCCAGAGCATCACCGTGGGAATGGTGGCTTCGACGACCCCGATGGCCGCAGACCGCGAGCCAACGGGCAATAGATGCGCCCCCTGGATGATGCAGGGTGGGCCGAGTGTGGGATAACTAGAGATGGGAAGGGTGGAAGAAGGGAGAATGAGCTTCATATTGAGGTTCTCTTTATATTCAGCTTGCACTGGCGGCGCGTGCACGCTGCCAGTGCAAAAGGGATGCTTGCTTCATGTGGGTTTGAATGCAGCGTCTGCCCCACAATTAGTTTGAGACGCCAAGCCGTGTACAGATTCTTGCTGTTGTCTCGCATGACCACATCGTGGCCTTGAGAATCGTGAGCCGACATATCACCTCCGCAAGTCGTCGGAAACAGTTTGTTTCATGGTGTTTTGCCGTGCAACAACAGAAGGGAGGATGGGCGAGGATGTTGGGAAACGGGGGGAGGGAAACAAGGGCCCCGAGAGGAGGGATGGGCTGCAATGCGGGGGTCGGAGGGCGAAGGAGGAGGAAGGAGAAGGATGATGAGGCGTGTGGACTGAGGCCCCGCTCCAAAGACACTTTGCAATAACAATAACAATATGCTTCGCATGCTCCCGCACTCCCCAGTGCTCGCCAGGACGTGAGATCAATGTGCTGCGCAGCTTTGCTATTTCTGAAAGCACCGCAACGCAAACCAAGCAATGTCGAGAACAAAAATAAATACGCTGCAACGAACACCAATGTAAAATGCGGCCGCGTGACACACTGCTATGTATTTGGGTTGTATGTCCTGGTAATTCTCACCCTGATCACGAAACCAGGGTTCGCCACTTCCAAATCGAATGCCCGTTCGGCCTCAAGGTGGGCTTGCACATGCTCGGCCCACTCTTAACCGTGAAGAATCGTTTGGCGAGGAATGGGTTTCCACGCCTGCTGTGCCAAGTGGCATTGTCTGCGCTCGTGCGCGCATCGAGAAACCTTGTGTTTCCCATTCTGCGACATGTTGATACCCCAGCAAATTGTCGGGGTGCTTCAACCCCTCAGATGAGCCGAACTGGCTCTGCGGAGCACATGCCCGCCACCCTCCGCGCCCGCCACCCCCCCAAGTTGCGACCCTCGCAAGCGCCGCGGCCGCACAGTACTACTACTGCTGTGGGGCTGAGGAGCACCGCGGCCGCAGAGTCTTATTACTATTGCAAGTACGCAGGCTGAGGAGCACCGGGGCCACGCGGGCTCCGATACCTCACTTGTCCGGCTCGTCTTGGAGGAACTCGCGCCAATCTGGCGGCTGCCAACTATCAAGTATGCGCCGGGAGCCGCCGCCCGTGCTGCCGCCGATGTCGAGGTAGTCTCCGCGCGCGGAGAGCAGCCGGCCATGTCCTACCGCCAGAATCGCCATGTTCCTGTTGTCTAGCAACTCGCCGCCCCCCCACTTCTGCAGCACGCCCAACTGCCTGCGCGTGAAAGTGGCCACCTCCTGGCCGCGGGTCGCAGGCTGAGATGCACCGCGGCGCTGAAGCTCTCGCTGGTGGCGGGCGAGCCGGTTACCCTCCTTGTAGCGCGCAATCGCTTCAGCTTTGTTGTGGTGGAGTCGACGGCGCTGTTCGTGTGAGACTTCGTCACGATCGGCTGGCTCTGCAGTTTCGGCACTGGGCTCGATGTGCAGGGCTTGGCGGAGCATGTCAACATCGAAGCGGCCGGAGAAGGCCAGCACCTCCCAGATCTGCTCTGCGCCGCAAGCGCGTTGCAGATGCCGGCACCACCGCTTGCGCTTCTGTTCTCTGACGAACTTGGCGAGGCCCCCTTTGCCTGCCGCTTCGGCCTGGCTACCTTTGCCAGCAGGCTGAGAAGCACCGCGATGACCTTTACGGCCGCCTGGTCCTTTGCTCGCAGGCTGAGGAGCACCGCGAGCACCTTGTGGAGGTGTCTTGCCTTTCGCTTTCCCTTTCTCGACATCTCGGTCCTGCAGCGCAAGCTGGTGGTTGGTCTGCTCGCACTCCGCTCGAGCACGTTTTACGAGTTCCCCGCGCTCAGCCTCGGTGAGGACGCGGCGCAAGTTGGTGATGTTCTTGCTCCGCAGGAACTCTTGGCGAACTCGGAGGACAGAAAGAATGGCTCGGGCAGTCTCCTCCTGCGACGCGAAGGCGGTGTCATAGTCTGAGCTAGGCTGAGGAGCACCAGCTGGATCTCCATCCGGAGGCTGCGCGGACGCCCTCTTCTTGAGCAGCAGAAGGCTCAGGTGGTGGAGTTTGGGGTCGTAATCCAAGTCGTACCTCTGGCCCCAATACTCCCTCATCTCCTTGTGCAGGTCCTGCGCGCGCTGGCTAGCTTCATCCTCGGGCTTGTCGCAGGCTGTCCCGTCGGCCTCGGACGTCGGCGACGGCGGAGGAGAGGTGCTCGGCGATCGGGGCCAGGTGACCCCGGCCTCGGCCTCGGCCTCTGAGTCGCCGACGGCGTCAGAGCACTCTCCGAAGGCAATATTCCGTCTCTTTGCCTCCCCAGGCTGAGAAGCACCGGGGAGGGTGATCACGACCGCCACAGCATCGCGTGAGCCGTTGCGCATGCCACGGTCCAGGTAATCCAGAAGCCGCATTAAAGTGATCATTTGTTTTTTGGCCCCCCCTCTGTCACAGAGGGGCCCTAAGATGCCCCCCCCTCTGTCACGGAGGACCTCGTTCTGGGTGCTCTTCTGCCACGGGATCTCCCGATACGATTGGAGACAATAAAATGCGATGGCGGGATGGGGGATTGGAGGGGGAGGGAGAAGAAAACGATGAAGGAGAGGAGGCGACGACAGCACCGATGAAAGCACCGTTTCTTTTCCCTTCTCCGCTCGGGCAGCGGTCGCCGAGCACGACGGCGCGCGCGAGTCGCCGCCGCTCGCGATGCATTGGCAAGGCCTCCGCTGCTGCGGAGGGTCGACGTTCGGCCGATGAGGCCTCCCTCCGCTGCTGCGGAGGGGCGGCCCCTGTGCGATGGTTCAGCTAATTAAGTTCTTCCCAGGGATTGGTCTCGGGGGGGTGTTCGACCCACCTCCAGTGCGTCGTATTCGTGGCCTCCCAGTGCCCCTGGCCGCCACTCCGCCCACTGTGGCTGCTCCACCAGTCACTGGGGCGCGGGTCGCTGCCGAATGCAACTTGCATGTCGCGCCAGGCGGAGTCGACCCTGCGGTCCTGCAGCGAGGAAGCCTCGCCGCTCGGCTGTTGCCACTCGCGCTCCTCGCCCTCCCTGGTGCGCCACCACTCGTCACTGCGCCACTCCCCGTCTGTTGGGTGCTGCCATGGCGTCTGTGGCCCCCGCTGCTGCGGGGGCTCTGGCGGCTGATGCCGCGGCGCCTCCCGCGGCTGCTGCTCTTGCAACCCTTGCCCTCGCTGCTCCAGCGGCGCAGGCCCTGGAGATGGCCACTGCGGGGTCGGCTGCCACCTTGGGGGTGATAAGTAACTATTTCTATAATTATCCCCTTCCTGTCAACTCCCGCCCCTTCCCGACACTCATTTCCTTATGTCATCCCTCGTCCTGCTCAGCCTATTCCTCATTCCCTCTCCTCCCTCCTGCCCTCCCCGTG